CAACAGGTGATGTCACGGAGGAAGGGGGAAGTGTGGGGTGGGTTGGAGGAATGGAGGGGGTGGCTGGGAGCAATATTGTGGGGGTTGAAGGGGGTTGAGTCGGCAGCTTTGGGAGGAGGGACACTGACTATAGTGGCAGGGGAGCCACCCAGAGCAGCCGTGTGATCTGCTCCCACTCCACACTACCACTTCAACCCTCACGCCACGACATCAAGGTGAAGTTATACCTCCAGGATCTACTCCTTCACGATCTGAGGGTGTTTGTGAGAGGGAGATGGTGGTTTGTGAGAGACAGCTGGGTGTTTGTGAGAGACAGCTGGGTGCTTGTGAGAGACAGCTGGTGGCTTGTGAGAGACAGCTGGTGGCTTGTGAGAGACAGCTGGGTGTTTGTGAGAGACAGCTGGTGGCTTGTGAGAGACAGCTGGTGGCTTGTGAGAGACAGCTGGTAGTTTGTGAGATACAGCTGGTGGTTAGTGAGAGACAGCTGGTGGCTTGTGAGAGACAGCTGGTAGTTTGTGAGATACAGCTGGTGGTTAGTGAGAGACAGCTGGTGGCTTGTGATAATAGTTGTTTTTAAATGATCCAGATGTTTCAAATTCAAGAGAAGATCTTAATTCAGTCACTTTCAGAATGTCATATCCGGGTCATTAAGGGTGGAAGTGGTTTGTGTACAAGACCGTTTGATTATAATCTGTATTTACATTATTTACGGCTCGAGAACGACCACGCAATTGTTTGAGTGAGTGTGTGTGTGTGTGTGTGTGTGTGTGTGTGTGTGTGTGTGTGTGTGTGTGTGTGTGTGTGTGTGTGTGTGTGTGTGTGTGACTTCATGCTTGGATATAAATGTGTTGACTTATGCCATCATAACTACCAGCAAAGAGCAGTAAATACCTCCTTGAGTGTTTTATGGGATGCGTTTGGCAGGGGCCTCGTTAGAGAGCTGGAGCTCAACATTCCGTAGTCTTCGGTTACACATACTGCGTTAACAAACTTGTGAGATAGCATGATGATCTTATTTAAAAAATTTCAACAGGAGTAAATCTTATGAGAATATTGACATATATTTACTTGTATGTAACGCACACATTTACGAATTCAGAAGTTTACGAACTGAATCCATTAAAACTATCAAGGTCGATAGTTTTTAGTTTTTAGCCAAGTCTAAAAGAGCCTCTGCCTCTCTCTCTCTCTCTCTCTCTCTCTCTCTCTCTCTCTCTCTCTCTCTCTCTCTCTCTCTCTCTCTCTCCTATAAATCGCTTTCATCAATATCTGAAAAGTACCACTGGAGGCTGATTGTCGTTGACTGCCCTCCAAGAATAGGCCTCCAAGAATAGGTCCTCCAAGAATAGGCCTTAACACATATGCGATCAGGTTCCATCTCTGAAGGGCGCTGCTGGGTCGCTTGCTAGAAATTGTGTTGTGTTTACATTTGAATTGATGTGTGTATAGAAATATATGTTCCAATACCTCTTTCATAGGTGTGTAACTCAAGTATTTATATATACTTCAGATAATTCATTTTCTATTCAAACTTTCACAAATAACAGTTTTAATGCGTGACGCTATATGCTGGCGTAATAAGTATCCTGTATGTTGTGATCATGTTCCCTGCGAATCATCTGAACTGCAGCGTAGTGAATTGTAATTGTTTTTCATGTTTCATAGCTTATCCTTTATTTTAATTGGGGACCTTCACTGGCATAAAAAAAAATCTCAAAATATTTCGCGTATCTTAAATGAATTGGGTAAATTTCAAATCATAATATATTCAAATCTGATTCCAATTTAATATCATAAAGCAGCTTAACGCGACTGATCTGGGATGGGTGAAGGGAAGGGCCAGGAACACGGAAAGGGAGGAAGGGGTTAGAGAAGAAGAAGGGGGGGGGGGCATTGGGTGCCAAAGGGGTAGTATGACCCACATCAAGAGTAGGGTATAGGTAAGTAGGTAGGTGTGAGGTAGGGAGATTAACAACTATATATATATATATATATATATATATATATATATATATATATATATATATATATATATATATATATATATATATATAAAATTCAAGGTTGTGACATGTAGATACTCAACTAGAGATGCATATAGGGTCGAGCATTAGCTCCCTAGCCCCACCTTTTACTCCCCCTGATCAGTAAAGGTTCCCAGTAACGAAAGTTAAATTTATGTCCCAAGCCACAGCATTCAACATGTATTTATATATAAATTTATATATGAGTTTATAGTTAGATTCGCTTCCCCGGGTGATAAGTGGTACGATGCACAACGACTTTATAAGAAAGTGATTTATGAAGACAATGGGGCAAAATTGAGAGAGAAAATAAGACACCAGATCATCATATCTGAAAATATTGGAGGTAGCGTCGCTTCACTCCGTCCTGGAGCATTAGCAAGTCCTGGAGCATTAGCAAGTCCTGGAGCATTAGCAAGTCCTGGACCATTAGCAAGTCCTGGACCATTAGCAAGTCCTGGAGCATTAGCAAGTCCTGGAGCATTAGCAAGTCCTGAACCATTAGCAAGTCCTGGAGCATTAGCAAGTCCTGGACCATTAGCAAGTCCTGAACCATTAGCAAGTCCTGAACCATTAGCAAGTCCTGGAGCATTAGCAAGTCCTGGAGCATTAGCAAGTCTTGGACCATTAGCAAAGTCCTGGACCGTTATGATAACTTGATAATGGTCCACGGTGGAATGAAACGTCGACTGTCCTTTATTTTCAGACGTGTGGATTGGGTGTTAAACATGACTTACCTGAGATAAAATACTGGAAAAATACGATGGGATCAGTAGTACGTATGCCTGGAGGGGGGTCCAGAAAAGGGGGTTCGATCCCGTTAACGGCTCCAATATTTTCTCAGGTGATAATTATCGTAGATTCGGTAGTCAATCGATAACGAATTAATTACTAAATAACTGAAGGAATTACAATTTAAGGAATGGATATGTTTCCGCCAGCATCAATGTAACTTTCACAGCTGCTAAAATATAATCCAATTGAAATGGTTAATATATCAGGGAACGAGTCAGGATTAGTGTTATTTACAGATCACAATAATGAGTATTGGTCAGTTATCAGTTATTACTGTTATCATACACCGAAAGAAGCAGCCGTTTAGCTTTGAACGAGCAGGAGAATATTTTCATACTTCACACACACACACACACACACACACACACACACACACACACACACACACACACACACACACACACACACACACACACACACACACGCACGCACACACACACACACGCCAGTGGGGGGCCAGGTGGCCGGGCTTCAGCATGTAAAATTTAGCCTGGCGTGGGCGTTGTCCTTGCCTACGATAGTTGATCTACTTTACGATAGATGGGCATGTTGACAAGGGGAAAACCACTACAATACTGCGGTTGCTCCAGAACATCGCTTGGAAGCTGCTAGCTCCCTCACACATCATTCTATTTCCACTATTATGGCTTTTCTCGTTGATCGCTTGTGCTCTAACTGCCGTTGATCGCCTGTGCAGTAACTGCCGTTGATCGCCTGTGCTGTAACTGCCGTTGATCGCCTGTGCAGTAACTGCCGTTGATCGCCTGTGCACAAACTCCCGTTATACGACTATTCAGAGTCCACACGGACTCTGAATAGTCTTACACAAAGTCTAAATCTCCTTTCAATTAAACAATATTCAATATAACAACAATTTTGTTGGAATAAAAGTTGTTGCTGCCAACGATGCACCAATGTGGATTAAAATTATTTTGATAGTGAAAATAACAAATAAACCGATTGTTTGGTAACAAAATAAACAGAATAAATTCTCAGTGGGGGTGGAAACTGATACGTCATTGTTCAAGATGGTGTTACTCACCCTGGCGAAATTAGAACATTTTCTTGATAAAACTCATCTGTAAATTAGTTTAGTTTTTGACATTACCATAACATCTATTTTGTTTACCAAACAAAAGTATTACATAGGAGACAGGCAAATTGCTATGTCGCAGTAACACCATTAAAAGGAAAATGTACGTGACAAATTGGATAAAAAAAAGTAGTTATCATAAAAGAAGAGAAGGAATAATGTGTAAGTCGTATTGTAGTGTGATGTAAAAGCAGTAAATGTAAATAAATACAACTAAATAAATACATCTGTAATACACAGAAAAGAACGGGAGAGAAAATATTGAGCGAGGATTGTATAAAGAAAGACTAGAGGTAAGACTCATAAAGAGCATTCATGTGTCTCTCTCTCGCATCCCCAGGGAGAGGAGCCTCCGGAAGCTGCTTCCTCATTTACGAACACGCACGTACGTGCACACATACACACATACACGCTCACTACACACACACATACACACACGCACACATACAAACACATTCACACATAAACACAAAAGGGTGGAGATAAGGATGGAGATGAGGGAGGAGAAGAGGTTAGAAATTAGGATAAAGAATAGGGCGAAGATGAGGCAATCCGTTCTATGGATTTACCACTTCGTAAAAAAATAACCATTTTGCCTAACCAGACGCGTACGAACCCAATCAACCCACCAAACCAATCAAGGTAGATACATAAAAAAACTTCATTATAACGGTACTTGAAATGGACTAACACCCCATTTTTCACGGATTGGTCCATACCGTAAGAAATACGACGTATTAAGCCACAGGACGAGCTGGATGGTGAGATTATTAGTGGTAGTGGTTGTAGGATAAAGTAGGGATGGTGGTGGTGGTGGTTGAGAGGAGAGGAGAGTATGGCGGTTCAAGGAAATGACAATATAGACTAAATTAAGGAAACCATTAATATCGTGCTACCTTCATCTGACTCTACCTGCCTTCCCCACAAATCTTCCCTTCCTGCTTCCTTCTCTGTCTCCCTCCTTTATCCATCTCCTCCCTCACTACCCACCTGCCTCTCTTTCTCTTCTCTTGCCTCTCTTCGTTCTCATCCCTTCCTCCAAAAATCAGATTGTATCGTGTATTAACCACTTTGCCTCTCTTCCTCAGGGCGCCCGGTAGAGTGGCCGCCTCGCCCAGAACACGGAGAGAGCCAGGATCAACCAGATCAGGTAGCATCCTCAACCAACATCGACCAGGTTCCCCCGCCTGTGCCGCCCAGACCAGCTAATTACCCGCAGGTGACGCGCTCTGGCTTACGCCGCTGCTGCCACACACACACCTGTGCTTCGTCTCACTGCCAGTGCCACACCTGTCATTCCGAACGCCTAAGGACACACACACTTGTCATTCCGAACGACTGTCATATACACCTACGTTCACACCTGTCATTCCAAACGCCTGTCTCGCACACCTACGGACACACACCTGTAATTCCGAACGCCTGTCATACACACTTACGTTCACACCTGTCATTCCGAACGCCTATGACCCACACCTACGTTCACACCTGTCATACCAGTGCCACACCTGCTAATCCCCCCCCCCCCACACCCCTCACCGCGGGCCTTCCCATTATATGAGTCATCCTCTATAGCGCGCAAAGTGCGCAGAGTGGCGATCAAATAGATCCACAGTGCGCAAAAACTTAAAAACACTTAACACTTAAAAAACACTTAACACTTAACAAAAACACTTAAAAACTTAAAGTAACAAGCAGCAATCTTTTAGAAAAGTGATTCAAACTCATTTTATACTTTTACAAAAAACTTAGTTCTAAATTAATGTAGAAATAAGCAACATTTGCCGGTTCTATTCCTTTTAAAAGTCCTAAACTCCAGTGGGAATATTTGAGTAATGAAAGAAAAGTTAAAGTTTTAATGTAAGCTATAAAAAAAAATTCAACATATTTTTTGACAGTTTGGAGTCGAATGCTCGACAATTAATTTCATTGGAATCGGTTATTCGACATTTAATTTTTCGCTGTTTAATTTATTAGTCCTGTAATGAGTGGGGCAGGTCAAGCACAGGAGATAAATAGAGAATTGTTGATAGCAAACAGAAAACGATCACAGAAGCAAACACAACACGACCTTAAAAGATAACACAGGACTACCAATATATCAAACCTAGAATGACCTTGACAGCAAATACAGAACGACTAAGAAACAAACATAAAACGACCTAAATATCGAATACAGACCAACGTTGATAACAAACACAGAACAACCTTGATAACAGACACAAAACAACCTGGATAACAAACACAGAACAACCTTGATAACAGACACAAAACAACCTGGATAACAAACACAGAACAACCTTGACAGTGTGAGTAAACACAGAAAACCTGCCAAAGCAGTAACATGCACTAATCTAATCTCTTAAATATCTTAATTAATGAAGCAGTACCTAGTTCCTTCTAGGGTAGTGAACTAGCTACGTAGTTCCTCCTTCGGTATTGAACTAGTTACCTGGCTCATCCTTGGTTAGTTAACTAGATACCTTGTTCCCTCTAGGGGTGGTAAACTAGTGACCTAGTTCATTCTGTTAACATTACCAAATAACACAGATGTGACCAGCTCCATATGATCATATGATCACCGTCAGTGGGTGATCTTGGCAGTGACACGAAGCTTTAGTGGCCAGCACAGCTTCTGCTCCTAAACCCCCCCAAAGAGCTTGGCTTAATATAACATTTTGCAGCTGCTCTGTGCTTCTTATGCAAAGCTTTTTCTTGGCAGACCCATGCAAGCAAGCGACCAGGGTGTTAAAATCATAATAAAACAATGTATATATACATAAATTCACCTCTAGACTTAAATATATATTATATATATAAACATATATATAATGTAGAATATATATATATATATATATATATATATATATATATATATATATATATATATATATATATATATATATATATATATATATATATATATTACGTTTCTGTTTACTAACATTTGTGGTGGTGGCGAGAGAGCAGGGAATCAGTGAGACGTTTTCCTACAGGCCAACAGCATGGAGCAGGTGCAGCAGCAACAACAGCAGATGATGTCTCAACAGCATCACCAGCAACAGCACCAGCAACAACAGCAGCAACAGGTGACCTCGTCATCTTCGCAAGTGAGAACGGTGAAACAGACCTACCAAGTCAAACAGCACTACGAACAACGTTCTAGCGGGTTGCAACAGCAGACGGGGGCGGTGCGGTATCAGCAGCCACAACAGCAGTCTATGCAGTTCCAGCAGTCACAGCAGACGTCGTCGACCTATTCCTCGCAGCATCCACCAGTCTTCGGGAAGCAAATGGCCGCGAGTCCGGGAAAAGCTGTACCGCCTTTCACCCCGAGAGGCCCAGCTCCACCACAGCACAATTTTCCACAGCATAATGATATCCAGAACGCTGTGCCACCTCAGTATGCTTCCCAACCTCAGTATGCTCCTCAGAATATTGCCCAGCCCCAGTATGCTCCACAAAACGTGCCCCAGCCCCAATATGCTCCCCAAAACGTGCCCCAGCCCCAATATGCTCCACAAAACGTGCCCCAACCCCAGTATGCTCCCCAAAACGTGCCCCAGCCCCAATATGCTCCACAAAACGTGCCCCAACCCCAATATTCTCAACAAAATTTTCCCCAGCCCCAATATTCTCCACAAAATGATGCAAAGCCACAACAAACCAATGTACAAACCCAGCCACAACAGTCTCTGCAAAATGCCGCCCAGCCTCAAAGAGGCCCTCAAGCTCAACCTCAAAAAGCACCCAAGAGCCAGCCTCAGAAAGCACCCCAGAGCCTGCTCCAGCCTGTTCCAGTGGCTGTGATTCTCGGGGAAACCAACGCTCCTCCTCCGAAGCTTGACGCGGAGCTTCCTCCCGGGTACAGTACAGCGTACAGCGCTGTGGTCGGCGAGTGGCCCCCTAAGGTAATATTCACGCTCTTCCTCGCCACCACCACCACTAACACGCACTCTAACTACCTCCTCCCCATCAGATAGTACCAAGCATGTACCACCTTCACTAACAGCACGATCCATGCTTTCCACGTGACGCTCTATGTCAGATCGATATGCTTCCTCACGCTACGCTTTGCGTCACGCAAGCGCTTTCCACGTAACGCGCGGTGATGACTAGGAGCCCTGCGTCTGTCGCAGCAACAGTGACGCTGCAGGATTACTGTGCGACAAGTGAAGTTGTCGCACAGTAATCCTGCAACTAAACACGTTAGTTGTCTAACGTTGCTTCCATTAGAATATTATTACATAGATTTATAGTCTTTGGCTCTTGTGTGTATTATGTATATATTTCAAAACGCAAGCATCGTTTCAGAGTGACATGTATACAATTGCCTATTAGCTAGGATTAAATTAATGAGCTAATGTGCACACAGGATTCGCCTGTGAATGATTTTTTACAAGTTGTAACACTATAAATATCTTAATTACACGCATAATTAACAATTAACATACAACACATCAGAACAACTGATTATATTTCACAATGACAGCAAATCACATGTCGTGGTGCAGTGGTCAAGGGCGTGGACTTGAGAGTACGAAGTGTGCTGGTTCGAAGCCTCCTTTTGGCTCCATCTGTTTTTCTTATTTTGGGATTACAGTTTCTTAAGGCCGCAGATTTCCACCACGTAACGAAGCGAGGACCCTAGGACAGGTAAGCTGGGGCGAGGATGCTGAAAACTTCAGCAGAGAACAGGCTACAAGTCGCAGGAGGAAGATACAGATCTGTAGCCCAACCATCGTGAATCAGACTTGCAGTTGGGTTTAGTAGGTGATAACAGTTCTTGCAGGAGGCCGGGCTGTTCTTCGCGAGGCTAGTGGCTATCATGTTTCTAGGTCGTCATTTTCGTCTTCTTCTTCGTCTTGATGAGGTGGTGCAGTTGTTCAAGGTTTGGTATTCCAAGAGGAAGTCGTCAGGTCAACAGATGGGTTTCCGTTGAGGAGGGGATGTTGATCAAACTGAGACATCTTCATTATTTAAGGCGGCCCTCTATCATCTTCCGTGTATACATGAAGAGAGTGGGGCTCACCTGGTGTAATGCGCCGTGCTGACTATCACACGGTGTGGGCCGTGGAAGTGGACACGTCCGTCCCTGTGACAGTGGGACACCCGTCCCCGTGGCAGTGGACACGTCCGCCTCCGTGGCGAGCGTACAGAAGAGTCCTTGTGATCCTTTGATCTCTGATCCCAGCACCATCGTTACTGGGAAATTGTTACTACTGACCAAATGAATTAAGTTATCGAATAGGCATGTTGATCTATTGCTATACCGACAAACTGATGGGTTCGCAGGGTAGGGGGATGAAATGTAGGGGTGAGGGAGGAAAGGTAGGGGGTTGAAGGAGGGAAGGTAGCAGTGGGGACGTAGGGAGGATGTGGGAGAAGGGGGAGGTGGCAGCTCTCGCTAATACATGTTCCTGATTGTCTTATCGTCTGCGTGAACTGCCGCCCTGCTCATATTTAGACCGGTCTGCTGGGCTGTCAGTTGGGCTTCAGCAGGATTGTCATCGTGTGAGAGAGAGAGGCAGAAAATGCATGTAGTTTTATCCCAGCAGGGTAGTGTAGTAGTGCCTCGTAGTGCCTCGTAGTGCCTCGTAGTACAAAACTACAGCTGCCTCCCTCATGTCAGCTGTCGCACGTTTGACAGCTGCTGGAAAGGGAAAGTGGCTGCTTAATGTCAAATATTGCATCATGCCAGCTGTGCATGTCAGCTGTTACAACAAGTCATTCGATGCAGTACGTCAGATGATACAATATTGTCAGTTGATGCAACACGTCAACTTCATCAATCAACGTGAAGGGAACGAGCCTCAGGCAATAAAAGACGAGCTTAGGAAGGCAAAAGCAACTAGGAGCAGTTCACTGTAAAGTGAGCTTGACCAGCTTAAAAGGATTAGCAGTACAGAACTGACTGGGATGATAATAAAAATAAACAGAGAGGGAGAGGGGGAGAGAGAGAGAGAGAGAGAGAGAGAGAGAGAGAGAGAGAGAGAGAGAGAGAGAGAGAGAGAGAGAGAGAGAGAGAGAGAGAGAGAGAGAGAGTTAAGCAAGGTAATATCCGCGTTGCTACAGATAAATGTGCACGATATGCAGCTCCATCTTCCAACGACTGATAATACTTAAAATAAAAGATGTGAAATAATGCCCGAAGTTATGCAAAAATAACAAGAACAAGAACAGCCCAGATAAGGCTGTCTCAGTTCGGTTCGAATCCTTCAGGGATGAGAAGTTTCTGTTGCCTATTGGCTTGGGGACCATTCAAGATTGTTCGCATATTATATATATATATATATATATATATATCAGATCAAACGGACCTTGACTAAATCATAAAATACTAGCACTGAAATAGACTGACATACTATTACATGGAGAAGGAATTAATGGTGTTGACTGTTGAGCACTGGGGAGGATATTCACTCGGTTTATTCCTGTGTCGTTGCTACAATCAACAGATAACTAATGTCAGTGTCCTCAGGGTGGTGTGAGTTGAGCGTGCTGGCTGAGTTTGTTAGCTGAGTTTTATAGCTGAGTTTGCTAGCTGAGTTTGCTGGCTGAGTTTGCTGGCTGACAAAGGTCACACTAGGTCAGAAAATCGTCCTGGGGCTGTTTTCTCGTTCGAGCTGTGGCCTTCTATTTTAACATATTGTGTAACCAAAAACGCCCTATTCTAGAATATAAATTATTATTCATACATATTAATTTTGTGTGCGGTTCAACCTAGGGTTGGTTGGGTTAGGTGTTGTTTGGTTCTATTGGTAGTTATCTTGTATTTATAGTACGTGGATAGAGCTTTACCAATCTAGCCAGTGGTGGCGTGGGGCATAATCTCTGTCTCTATCCTCTCCCTCCCAATCTCACTTCTAACACCTAAATACTTTTATACACAAACACACTAAAAAAAAGGAATTTTCTGTACCTGGACACTTCGTGTGTTCAGGTACAGAAAGCAAGCCCGCTTGTGGCTCGCACATCATTAATATAAGTGAAAAATGTAAATAAATTTAACATATATTTTTTTTTCCATCTCCCCCAGATAAACAATGCCCCGAACCTGACAACAACATACCCTTCAGGGTTCAAGTATAGGGAAAAGGCGCCTCTGGACAACGTTCCCGCCAAAGTGAGTACCGGAGGAGAGGAGTGCGTGATAATGTGACCTTGCTGCTCGGAGGAATGGATGGAAATGGGGCGCTTGGTCTAGCATCACAAAAAAATTACTACTTCGGTAGAAATACTGTTTTAGGAAACTAAGACGAGAAGGGTTGGATCACCTCACGGAAGATTAGTATATGGACTACATAGAGTCATAAGTAACTGGAAACCTTTACATGCCTAAGATCTAGAATGGATTTTTCATTCAATCTAAATTCAGGAATTAAAAGCTTATAGACTAGAAATGGGCATCAAATCAGTGCTAATCACATATATTGTCTCTGTGCTAACTACATTTATTTTCGATTTATTTCACTACAAACAAACTAATATCTCTGGCTACGGCATTACCCTGCACTTTAACCAACATTTATCATATCTACATTGCACATTTAATTAAAATTTTGGAGACAAGTTCTATGCAACTTTATTTATGTAAATTTTGCTGAAACCTGGTATAGGTTCTGTCTTCCTTGTCTCAATACGTTAAATACAGTTGTTGTGTAAGTTTGGTTCAAAACTAGTAGTACTTACAGAACTCGTAGCAGTACTTACAAAACCCAGAGCAAGCCCTGCAAAACTTTTCAGCAGATTCGACAAAACTCGTAGCAGCACCTTAAAAAACTCGTAGCAGTACTTTAAAAAACTCGTAGCATTGCCTACAAAATTCGTAGCATTACTTAAAAAAAATCGTAGCAATGCCTACAGAAGTTGTAGCAGTGCCTACAAAACACAATTTTCTGTAAACTACATTTCTATATATCATTGGTCTTATTCACATCATCATTGTGGAAGGAAACTTCCACTTTCACGGCGGGTTTGGAAAAAGACCCAAGCCCAACTTTAAATAATAAGTCCTAAACTTAATATAAATAGTTAAATCTAAACAGAGAACAATTAATTATTGTTTAACAATAATTTCGCCTAGCGGCTGTTACACGCTGATGTGTACTGAAAGTAAAAGAATATTCAGTGCATCTCATTAGTCAATAATCATAAAATCAGAAACATTTAAAGCCCAGGTAAATTCGAGCAGCTCCATTGAGGTCTCTTGCAGGGATTGGGACTTATTCAAAGTCCTGTGAAAACGCAATATACTTATTATGTCTGTCTCTCTCTCTCTCTCTCTCTCTCTCTCTCTCTCTCTCTCTCTCTCTCTCTCTCTTTCATTACGCTTTATGCATTGTACATAATTGCTCCTCACTAATTAAAAATATTCATGCTTCAAAAATCATTTTCGACTTTTATAATGAGATGAAATTGCCTGACATGAATGCTGGTCATTTTTCTTCACTTTCAATTAACATTCAAGAATATTTTGGGCAAAACCATCCATGCGTGAATGCGTCGACACTGTGCCAGAAGTTGTGCCTAATTAGCCACTTTTGTGTGATCACTTTCTCTGATCTGAATATTTTGGGAGATCTGACTTTCGTTTATATGTGAAGTCTTATTGTGTGATTTAATTTTCTTTTAAGTTCTGTCATATTTTCCTGAAGTTTGATTGGAATTTCTAAATCACCTTCTAAATGTGTGGTTTGTTTATTTCTGGCTGCTGTATATTAGTATCTCTGCTTTTGTCCGTTTCTGGTTATCTTAATTCAGGTTATCATTTATTTGCTCACTTGCCCTTCAAGAGATTTCCGGATACTGTTGCCATTACTCACCTGACAGCTGAGTGGTCAGCGCTTCGGATTCGTTGTCCTGAGGTTACGGGTTCGATCCCCGGTGGAGGCGGAGACAAATGGGCAAAAAGTTTCTTTCACTCTGATGCCCCTGTTATAGCAGTAAAAATAGGTACCTGATAGTTAGACAGCTGCTACGGGCTGCTTCCTGAGGGGATGTGTAACAAAAAGAAGGCCTGGTCGAGGACCGGGCTGCGGGGACGCTAAGCCCCCGAAATCATCTCAAGATAACCTCAAGATAAGAACTCTTGAATGTCCCCAAACACCGGAGGTGCCCTGAAACCTCTACCGGAACACGAGCACTTCCGCCCTTCGTGGGTGTAAAGACGAAACAATGAAACAAATTTGGCGAGTTCAAACTGTTTCGTACTTAAACGGGCTATCCAATTTGCTGTAAACAGCTGGACCAGCTCGTATAGACTCGAGTGGATTCGTTGTCCACAATCTACCCCCCGTGTTTTTAGTGGGTATTGTGAGAGGCGAGGACCTTACCCTCCAGACAGCTTTTGTTTGATGCTATTTGTGAGGGGCGCTGGGTATTGCCTCAAGATGTAGCCGACATCTATTGAGAGTCTTCACAGTGTGAGTTTTATGACCAGTTATTTGAATATCATCGGTCTATTCACATATAAATATAAATGGTAATGTGAAACGACGACAGGAAAAAAGAGTATGGGATATTCCTTAGCGCTTTCGTGGCAGTTATAACACGGAGGGAATGACAAGACATAAGATAACAGCTGTTGTTGTTGTTTTAAATTCAGCTACTTGGAACTAAATGTTTCAAATAGCACGGGCTATAGTGAGCCCGTAACTTACCTGGCACAGGAGCGGGGCAAGTAGCACGGGCTATAGTGAGCCCGTAACTTGCCTGGCACAGGAGCGGGGCAAGTAGCACGGGCTATGGTAAGCCCGTAACTTACCTGGCACAGGAGCGGGGCAAGTAGCACGGGCTATAGTGAGCCCGTAACTTACCTGGCACAGGAGCGGGGCAAGTAGCACGGGCTATAGTGAGCCCGTAACTTACCTGGCACAGGAGCGGGGCAAGTAGCACGGGCTATAGTGAGCCCGTAACTTACCTGGCACAGGAGCGGGGCAAGTAGCACGGGCTATAGTGAGCCCGTAACTTACCTGGCACAGGAGCGGGGCAAGTAGCACGGGCTATAGTGAGCCCGTAACTTACCTGGCACAGGAGCGGGGCAAGTAGCACGGGCTATAGTGAGCCCGTAACTTACCTGGCACAGGAGCGGGGCAGGTAGCACGGGCTATAGTGAGCCCGTAACTTACCTGGCACAGGAGCGGGGCAAGTAGCACGGGCTATAGTGAGCCCGTAACTTACCTGGCACAGGAGCGGGGCAAGTAGCACGGGCTATAGTGAGCCCGTAACTTACCTGGCACAGGAGCGGGGCAAGTAGCACGGGCTATAGTGAGCCCGTAACTTACCTGGCACAGGAGCGGGGCAAGTAGCACGGGCTATGGTGAGCCCGTAACTTACCTGGCACAGGAGCGGGGCAAGTAGCACGGGCTATGGTGAGCCCGTAACTTACCTGGCACAGGAGCGGGGCAAGTAGCACGGGCTATGGTAAGCCCGTAACTTACCTGGCACAGGAGCGGGGCAAGTAGCACGGGCTATAGTGAGCCCGTAACTTACCTGGCACAGGAGCGGGGCAAGTAGCACGGGCTATAGTGAGCCCGTAACTTACCTGGCACAGGAGCGGGGCAAGTAGCGCGGGTTATGGTGAACCCGTAGTGGACTTACTGGCATAAGAGCGGGGCTCTACCGGGCTTTAAAATGACGGTATTTATACACGTAATTAAGAGAGTAACAGGTGAAGTGAAGGACATAAGTGTAGGAGATTAACTGGAGTCTGGTCGAGTTTCTTCCACTGAACAACTCCACTAACGAGAATATTTGCCCAGTAATCTTCTTACCGAGATTTTTTAAATGAATCAATTGAAAGAGGATCAAGAAAACTGTGTTCATTAATAATATTTATCTAAAATGATTTTTGTAATTTGAATCAAAACGGATTCACAATTGTTTACATTAACAAAAAGTATTACATGCGGTATTAGAGACCTCAGTTTAATAATATTTGTATGAATAATTGCCAAGGAATCGAGCATGGAAGGGAGAAGAACCCAGTGTTGTATGATTCCTGCGGACCAGTTCCTATGTCTATCGAGCCACCGAGTCTGTGGAGACGTTTGTTTGGGAGTCCAAGCACATGAGTGGGTCAGAAGTGGTTGGGCAGTTCTTGTGAATGATTGTGCTTGTATGGGGTACTGTGGAGGCTTAAAGTTCGTCTCGACAATCAGTGCGAATGAGTAGGGTTACGTAACACCCTCCAGGTCTGCCCCATACCCTCCAGGTCTGCCCTATACCCTCCAGGTCTGCCCCATATCCTCCAGGTCTGCCCCATGCCCTCCAGGTCTGTCCCATAGCCTCCAGGTCTGCCCCATACCCTCCTGGTCTGCCCCATACCCTCCAGGTCTGCCCCATACCCTCCAGGTTCGCCCCAAACTACTGATTAAGATAGGGATATGTGACACTTCCCAGTTTTGATTATCTGCTTCTCTTTTTTCTATTTCACCAAGAGACTTTTGGCAGTCGTACAAGATGTAATCTACGTATCCCTATCTATCTTGTTTTATCTTGGTGCCTCTGAGGTGGTGTGAAATTACATGAGAAATACGATCTATTATTTAAATGATTAGCAAGGACTTCCAGAATGGACGAGACAGCAGAATCAACTTCATCATTTCAAACCGTTGCATTTGCAACCTGTCCTCTCAACTAATACGCCTCAGTTTGTACGTTGAGCTCCCAACGTACAAATTACATAGCTCTATGAAAAGAAGAGAGCCATAAAGATCCACATTTTCTATGTAAATGTAGGTTATTTTAGGCTCAAGTTCGTACGTTCTCTAGTAAGGTTAAAACTTGGTGTCTTGCTCATTGTGGTAACTGAAGAACACAAGGTAAGTGTTCAAAATATATATATCAACGAGGGAACGAACTGAACTCTATGAGAAGTGTTCACTAGAGAGGAACTCGCAGATATAGCACCAGCTTCTTAGTTGCCCACAATCCTCGCATTTTCATGTTCTGTCCTCCAAGCAGGTTTCTTTATGTTTACATAAGACATAATTAGATGTTGCTTAACTTATTATAGATGTTTCTTGACACGTTTTTGTGTGGTCCTTCAGGTGGTGATGTCGCAGCCTGCCTTCAAGATCAGCCAGCCTATAAGGCGACGAGGAGACGACAAATGGCCCCCGAAGACTGGTATCGAACCTGTACAGAATGAGGTGAGTTGGGGCAGAGGGTGAGACTTGCAGCAAAGCAGAGAAGAATAGGAACGGAGAGATGAACGTAGAGGAATAAGAGAAGTGGAGAACGAAAGGCACATGTAAGCGTGGTTAGAAAGAGGAGAGGAGAGCTGAGCAACGTGAATATAAGTGCAATAAGTAAGACTTAAACAAATACAAATAATGAAAAATGGGTAGAAGAGAGAGAGAGAAGAAATATGAGAGAATGAGTAAATATATATATGCAGTTAACAACGTACTGTCTGTGTGGCTGTAAATATCTGCAAACACTAATAAATCCCAGATCATTTAGATAACATAACGCCCGTTGATAACATCAAAATACAACTTAAATATCCCTGACCCCATTAACAACAGCCTAATTCGACATAAATGCCTGATTGATTGATCAGCAGTAAAACGCAACACGGATGTCCAACATGTGCATCACGCCACACCACAAACAGGACAAGACAGCCAACCAAAAACCAGCTATCGAATCCTCCCCAGACACTAGGCTCAAACGCCGCCTCGTACCGTACAGCGTACCGGGACAATGGTGTGGCCGAGGCCGCTGGGAATATGTTCGCTACCAGGTACCAGGATTAATAACACACCGTGACCACACCCTGGCTGAGGCAGGGACAAAGGGAAACACCAGCGGAGGTTCTCACGATGTCTGTCACCGCGCAGGGTGACAGAGTAGCTGTTCTTGCTGTAGGAAGCAGGTAGCATAAAGACTGAAGAGAAGAATCTCTCTCTCTCTCTCTCTCTCTCTCTCTCTCTCTCTCTCTCTCTCTCTCTCTCTCTCTCTCTCTCTCTCTCTCTCTCTCTCTCTCTCTCATTTATTAAATTACTTTCATTCTAATTAATTATCAGCATTAGAAACGCATCTATAAGCCTTGGTGAAGACTGAAAGATGCATTTTTAAGGCTGAGAGATGCATTTTTAAGGCTGAAAGATGCCTTATTAAGGTTGAAAGATGCTTTTTTAAGGCTGAAAGATGCATTTTTAAGACTGAAAGATGCATTTTTAAGGCTGAAAGATCCATTTTTAAGGCTGAAAGATCCATTTTTAAGGCTGAAAGATGCATTTTTAAGACTGATAATTAATTTTAATGATAGAAATTTAACACTGTCTTTCTCTCTCTCACAGGTTCGGGAGTTCATCAAACCCAAGAAAATGGCCAAGAATTACGGGGAGTTTTTCGCCCAGAACGCCTTGCCCCACAACTATGCCGCCTACCGCCCCCCGCCAGGGACTCAGCACCGTGCGGTAGAGGACAACGAAGAGGATGAAGAGGTAGAGGAAGAAGAGGAGGAAGAGACTGCTGGTGGCGTCTCCAACATGTAGTCTCCCTCATCTTCCAACACCACTATACATCCTCCACCACCACTATACACCCTCCACCACCACTATACAGCAGTACCACCACGAACGATATCTGGTTAAATCTTGCATAGTACTCCAAAGCATCATATGATGTGATGCGCAATTTTCTGCAAGTCGGTCAGAGCATCATATGATGCGACGCGCAATTTAAGGGTTAATCGAACTATATTAAAAAATACATAAAAAAAATACTCTGCTCACGCATATTATGTATACATCTCTCCCTTGTTCGTTGTGTAATTTCTCTATTTAACGTTCAATGACTTCCTGAAAAGTCGTTCATTGCTTAAATTTCATGCCCAAGATCACCCGAATAGCGTTTTAATTACATCACTTAATAGCTAATTACAGCCGTTTACAGCTTCCCAAACATCGCCCGAATATAATTTTTTCTTTAATGCTGTTATGTATAATATAACCGCATTTTTATACCAATATTACAAGCGTATTCTGCGTAATCAGTGGTATTATATATAATACAAGTGCCTTTATATACAAATGTGATCAGATCCCATCAGCTTTGTATTAATCAAATGTTATTCTAATATTATTGTTGGTATTATTTTAATCATGGGATATATATTTGTATTTTATTTCGACCATTGTATTCCACCTCAATGGTACTGATTACACTGTATCGCACCTCATTGTCAGTGATTGCATTGTATTCCACAGTGATTAATGGCAGTGATTACCATTATAGTGCACTGAAGTTTATTTTCGTATATATGTCTCCATCTCTTAACCAGTCCATATATTTACTTTCTTCATAGAACTGGTGTAATTATAGCAGAATTATCGAACTGACAGCGCCCGTCATACTGTCTGTCTTCATGCAAGCTACTGTGAGCATATAGGCTTTATATAATAATATAAAACTAAAATACTGTTGTTATACTGGTAACATATATGATGTCTTTTGACACATTTAAATAGTATATACTTTTGTTTTTTAAAACTCACTTTTTTTTACAATGTAAACAGCCTTATGGGGACTCCTTTTTTTGTGATGGTGGCAGAGATATCCATACTTTTTTGGAGTCAATTTATCCATTTCTCTGTTCCTTTATGCTGTTTTTGTTCATTGCTTGACAGATATTAATTCATTAATTTTGCAAAATGAAAAAAAAAATATTTCCTGATTGATTTTGTCTTTGATAAGATTATGTTCTTTTACATGTTTTTGTTTTGTTTTGTGTTTTATCTTTTAACTAAAGCAAAATATTATTCTGGGATGATCTTTCACCGAGCTTGGAGCAATTCTTGTATCTTTTATCTTTTTTCCCGAACCAATCGATTGCTTATATGCTATTTTTACTAGCGTTTAATGTTAAGCCAACTTCCGTATTATAAAAACCAAAATGATAATGGTGCGCATGTCTTGATTACAGCTTGAATATATTTAAATTATTACGAAAAAAACTGTCGAATATTCCGTCCTACATTAGTTTGGGTTTCAATTACGGGAGCAGAATTCATTTTCTCAAATGAAGTTGGCATCCCTTTAGTGGTGATAGAAAACGTAGAACCCTTCTCGCTAAAGTGAGAGACTATAAAGAACTAGAATATGTACGACATCGCACTTTGCTATGCTATTTTTTTGTATAAAATAAATATTTATGAATTAGCCATGTATTAATTCTCCTTGACAGCATTTGAAACAATGACTTGTTTATTATTTATACAAAGAGCAGAGCAGTTTGCCCGAAACGCATTGCGTAATAGTGGCTTTAGGCATTGTATGTACTAGCTCTATCTATATATCAATCCATTAATGTAACATCACTTGTATGTATATACCTTACCTGAATAAACATCTGAATCTGAATCTGAATCATCTCATCTGTTGAGGGTGGAGGACCTCTGGAACTTGAGTACCTGAATAGTGTCTTAAGGAGGCCTCACCCCCAGGGCACATCTCCTGTGCCAGGTGAGTACGACGGGCTCACCATAGCCCATGCTACTTGGAACGTTTGTCGCTGAATCTAAAACAACAACAATGGAGGCCTCCCTTCCGGGGCTATTCATGCCCGTGCCACCTTTTGAGTGACCTAATATATATCAATCAATCGAGGTCTCCCTTCGGAGTTCACTCTGAATACTTTAGCGTTACTGGGTAACAATAGTGATTTTACGTAACATAATTTGGATCATGAGTAATAATTAATTTCTAGATATTACTCATTCATTATGAGTAATATCTAGAAATTAGAAACCTTTTTCTACTCCATTACAGGTTTCTAAGCTTCTGTTTAGCCATAAGTGTCCATTAGCAATTTCATAGATAAGGATTAAACTATCTAGTATTGTACATCACAGTGGAGAGATATGTCTGTATTTCTTGGTGTTTTAAATGCCTTTGATAAGGTTGATGGTGTGGAGGCTTAAGACCTGTCAAGCACTGGAGGGCTATTAAGGCCATCACAAGACCTTTAAGTCTGTGTATTGCTCAGAACGTCTATAAACGTTGTTTACATAAACATATCTAACAGCTTATCAGATTATATGTATTTCAGTATAATACCTTGTACTCGTCCAAGACAAGAAATAACAAGTACGTTACCGGGAGTTCACTGCTTTCATTGTTCCACAATATGTGTTATATAAACAAGCAATCAAGTTTGGATCTAACAGCCTGTTGCAGTTAGAATGCCTTTGTAATCTTCGTAAAAGCTATTATGGGGTATTGATCTCTCGCACACTTCTTTTATGAGCTAATGTTTTCGAAGATTCTATTGTGTGGATATTGGACCTTGTATACACCTCATATAAGGTGGCTTCCTTCAATGCTCTTCTTTTACGGTTAAAGTTATTGATCAGTCAACTACTGACGCACTTCTTGTGCAGTTAGTGATCATCTGTTGCTCGAGTTGAGGGTTAGTGACCTACAATATGTTGTTTGGAGGTCTAATGACTGGCTCATTTGCATCTGGGAATTTAATGACCTTCTGATACTCCACTAATGGTGGTAATGAAGGTATAGTGAAGCGATGAGTCACAATAACGTGGCTAAAGTATGTTGACCAGACCACACGTTAGAAGGTGAAGGGACGACGACGTTTCGGTCCGTCCTGGACCATTCTCAAGTCGATTGTGATCCATTCTCACAATCGATTTGAGAATGGTCCAGGACGGACCGAAACGTCGTCGTCCCTTCACTTTCTAGTGTGTGGTTTGGTCAACAAAGTTATAGTGACCTTTTGATACTTTTCTAGTGATGACGGTGACCTTGTAACACTTGTAATTTTAGTGACCAGATACTCCACTAGTGACGATAGACTTTTTGATACTTCTTTAGTGATTTAAGTGGCCTGATACCCCCCTCCCCACTAGACCAGAAGGTGGTGACCTTCTGATAGTGTAAGGGTAGTGACATTTTGATACTGCTATAGTGGAGGTAGTGACCTATTGATATTACTCCATCACTGTTGTAATGTTTCACATTCATCATCTTCTTGAGCAACACCCTCACTTTCTCCATATCAAGCAACATCTACCAACATTATCTTCGTCTCAAACAACATCCGTCAACATTCTCTTCACCTCAAGCAACATCCAGAAACATTTATGCATTTATTACTAAAATAATCACAGCTACAGAAAATTATGTTCCTACTAACTAGGCCCTGAGCGGTTTATCTGCAACTGTGTTAGTCAATAACGAAATATTGTTGCAAATTGGTCCTGCCGAAAGTGTGAAAACTTCGTGAACATGCAACACTTCCTCTTTTAAGCAGACGAGGAGTCAAAATGACGTGGCTGAAATATATTGACCAAACCACACACTAGAAAGTGAAGGGACGACGACGTTTCGGTCCGTCCTGGACCATTCTCAAGTCGATTGTCCTCTCAAATCCTCTCCTAACTTATGCCTTAATTTTTGTTCCCCTTTGTATGTTTACAGAAGCCTGAGATTTTTTTTCTTCCTTTGTTAACAAAAGTCTTTGAATATTCGTTTGTTTGCACAGTTGTCGTTTTGTTTGTATTTGTTAATCCCTGTTGCCAATATTGTCCCTTACGCATATGCTGTTTGTACCCACATTCTTTATCCATCAAATTTTGTATTCTCATAAAGGAAATCCCATTCACGTGATGTATAAATGGGGAAATCAGGAGGAGCCATGAGGAGGAGGATTTGAACCTGCGCATTAAGTGTTCCGAAGCACATGTCCTAGACCATTTAACCACCACATGCTCAAAATACTTAAAATATTTGTTTGTTTATGTTCCTTAGGGTTATTTGTTCATCTCTTAACAAAAGTTTCAGACTGTTTACATTTTAAGTGAAAGCTTAGTCTGTTTGTATTAAATAATATAAAGCTTCAAATTATATATGTTCGCTCACTGAACATTATATATATATATATATATATATATATATATATATATATATATATATATATATATATATATATATATATATATATATATACATACACAAGACTCACTCGAGTTGTTAAGTACCTCGAGTTAGCCGCCATGCTGGTTAACTCAATTGAAACATTATCATGTTGACATTTAGGGAGAAAAACAGTTGACGAGTCAACAAACTTTGAGTTGAGTGTCTCAAAGTTTCCTCGCTGAAAACACCGTTTTGAGGGACACTAACCGCGCCCTTAAGCGTCTGCAGCTAACTTGAAGTCTGAGCCATTTGCACACACAATAAACTTTTGTCACTGAATGAAGTTTGTGAGCTACGAAAGAGGACCCGCGCCAGTCACAGCGCTCTGGAACCGGTGGCGAACCATATGGTTCTCTCTGACCCACCTACAGGCCTTCCTGCTGGTACAGTTAGTAAGCGAGCCGTCCGTTACCCGCGAATCTTCAAGTGCCAGTGTGTGTGTGTGTGTGTGGAGTTCCCTGGTTGCCAGACTACGCAGTAGGGAAGGTTGAAGGACCAGTGAACCAGATATCAACCAAACTTTCACACGACAAGTAACGTGTATTGTGAATCGTTAGAATAACTACATGTACGTTAAATATACATATATAACTGATTGATTTAACTTAACTGTTTATATTCACTGGCAAATGGATATATAACACTGTCAAACGGCAGCAGATGGGTGAGTTGCCTAGTTTTTTGTTTTGTTTTTGCTGTAGGTAGCAAGGAACGTTTGTCAGTAGAGTTTCGGACGTGGCATGGTAGTGTGAGTGTGTTTGTTCTCCGTGGGTGTTGTGGTGGTGTTCTGTGCTCTAATCAACGCGCGCTGATCTCCTAACCAGCCTGATGGGGTGTTCGGACCTACAGCTTACACGGTAATCAACAAGAAAGTTCGTCTCATCCAGACAGTAGTGTTCCACAACTTTGTCGTGTCCGTTAGTTTTACAAGCTAGAGTAAGTCATCTTGAGATTTTAATTACTTGATCTTGAAAAGTAAGAATTAAAAAGTATTTATTATTATGAATATTATTATTATTATTATAACTATATATCACAGGGAGAGAGAGAGAGAGAGGGGGGGGAGGCTGGAAGCGATTAATTTACCACTGGACCTCTACGCCACATAAATGACACCATTTGCACACTTAACGCACACTAAGAGTGACTACCTAACAGAAATTTAGCGGGAGCGAAATCCAGGTCCTTTATCTCATGTGATCTAGAAGTTGTTTACGAAGTTGGTTTCCACAACTTCTTTTAGCTCATTCCACTTGTTGACCACTCGTTCTGGGCTCGTTTGTCTCCATAAAGCCTCTCAAATCAAAGATGCTGTCCTTGACCACACTGACTTCGTTCATCAGTATCATGTATTTCTTGATCATGTCCTCTCTGTTGCTGCTCTCTTTCTCTCTGAAAATTATGAAACTGAGGTCCTTTAACCTGCCCTCGTAGCCTCGTCCTCGTAGTTAGACCCTTGTCTTGTCGCAAGCCTCTACACCTGCTCACGTCTTGGCTTGTGTGTCACGAGGAGCAAATCTTAACGTCGGAATTAAGATATTCTCCCGCTGCCTCACATAGGCTGTATAGATGTATAAAAGTTGTATGATGGCCGATTGAATGCATGTATGTGATGATAGAAGGTTACAGCCATATTCTCTTGATTTGCCACAACGTGCAAAATACATCGTGCTAACCCTACCAGTAACGTACAGTCACTCACCCAATCTTACCTCTCGAAGCATTGAAAACATGGTTATTTGTCAGTCGCTGGTTGTCACAGTACTGTCAATTTTGAACGTTGGGGGACCATAACGGGCAAAATGAGACGGGTTAGTTGTGAGGACGGGTTGAGGAGGTGATGGAGGTGATAGTGGAGATGAGTGAGGGGGGAGCGGAGGGGGGCTGAGGGGCGGTGATTCGCTGTTATGAGGATAACGGTGTTCCTTGGGAGGGTTCCAGCTTGGTAGAGAGGGAGGGGAGGCGACGCTGTATGGATGTAATGCTCCTCTTAATCGTCTCCCCCCCTTTCCCCCCCCCTCCCCCCCCTCCCCACCTCCTCCTCCGCCTCCTCTTCCGTTATTTAAGTAACGTCTTCCTGGGACCCTCCTCCCTGTTATAATGCTCCTGTTGAATTCCAGCCAGTGAGGCATATTTCCTACTCAAGTGGTTCGTCTATACTCGCGTCCTGCTTCTGTCCTCAGTCCTCGGGTTTTAAGATTCATGCTAAGGGTCCTCCTGTTCCTCCTAGGGGTCGTCCTACCTCCTGCTGAGGCTTTCCTCCTGAAAGGGGTCTTCCTCAACCTCCTCCTGCAGCGGTCCTCGTGTCAGTGGTCTCTTGAGGTTAACGTTCCAAAAGGACGAGTTCAGCTTTGCATATCATACCCCCTTGATGTTCCTTTGATCTGTATGACTGTACTAGAGGGATTGTCAGGCGTTGTCTAGGTCTGTCTGCCTGTATGTCTGGGTCTCTCTCTCTCTCTCTGTCACTCTCTCTCTCTCTCTCTCTCTGTCACTCTCTCTCTCTCTCTCTCTCTCTCTCTCTCTCTCTCTCTCTCTCTCTCTCTCTCTCTCTCTCTCTCTCTCTCTCTCTCTCTCTCTGTCACTCTCTCTCTCTCTCTCTCTCTCTCTCTCTCTCTCTCTCTCTCTCTCTCTCTCTCTCTCTCTCTCTCTCTCTCTCTCTCTCTCTCTCTCTCTCTCTCTCTCTCTCTCTCTCTCTCTGTCACTCTGGTCCGAGTATTCACTGGAGCTTGGGAGATGTGTGGTGTACGAGAAATTTTCACTGTTTTGTGAGAAGATCCGCTCGTCATCAAGGTGTAGGTCATGGGGGCTTCGACGGAACTCTCCAGTCATCTCTTTACTCAGCACTCCCTCAGGGCACTCACTTCTTCCTCAGACGACTCATTTCATCTTGAGATGTGTGAGTGTGTGTGTGTGTGTGTGTGTGTGTGTGACGAGACATTAATTTTGTCAATTTCTTTGCAGGTGAATGATGAATTGGTGCTTATAAGCCAACATTTCCCCTTAGATAGCGAGGTGACTTCGATATCAAACTCCTCTTATGAGGGCGGGTGCTTCAGATTTATCTGGAAGCGTTAGCAAGCCACGAGAAATGATGGTTGGAAAATGAGGATCGAATACCATATCTTAGTACACAATG